TCCCACTGGGTGTGAAAATCCCAGCAGAGACTGGGCTCAGTGAGGGCTCAATGCATGGTTAATAATAACAGCTGGTACTTTAAGGTTTGTAAAGTGTTCTACAAAGGTTATCTCACGATCTCCACAACGATCCCGGGAGGGAGGTGGGTTCAATTATCCCCATTTGACAGATGGGGAAATGAAGGCTAAAAGAGGGTAAGTGATTTGCCCAGGGTCACACAGGTAGCAAAGTGTCTGAGGCAGGATTTGAATTTGGGTCTTCCTGACTCCACATGCAGCACTCTATCTAGAGTGGCTTTGGTCTCCAGAGCATTTATATATGTTAGATCCCTTGACCTCACAATGGCCTTGTGAGTTAGGAACTACAGGTACTGTGAATACTCATTTTACAGCAGGGAGACTGAGGCCAGGAGAGGTTCAGTGATCTGTCCATGGCTCACAGAGGTTGGGATTCAAACCAAGGTAGGTCCTGCCTCCAAAACCAGAGCTCTTTCCATTTCAGCATTCCAAGAACCTGCAGAGGGAGAAGGACCAGCCTGCAAGGCCCTGGAATTACTAGAACTTTCAGCAAATCTGTCAACGCCTGCAGTATCTGCTGTCTAGATCTTTCTCTAGCTAGCTCATGGCAGGTTCATGGAACAGACCAGACAAAATTGCTTTTGCTGCAGTTAGATCATTTTCCACTTGGAGAGAACAATTTGGCTCACTGCATGTTAGGTTATATTTACAAGGCTTACCTTTTACAAATACCTTTTTATGAGAAGGGGGACAGGGAGAGTTTGGACCAAAATAGTGACCTCCCTGGTAGGGAAACTCCCTTCACTGATATAGTTTGGCACCTATTCTTCGATTTGGTCTTAGAGAGCTACCTTGGCCACTGAGAGGTTGTGTGACTTGCCCAGGGTCACACAACCATCATGTGTCAGTCAGGGGCTGGGCTTGAGCCCAGGTCTTCCCAACTCAGAGGTTACCCTCCATCTACTCTGCCAAACTGTAAGAAATCATCTTGGGAAATGTGCCATCTTCCCTAAAATGTTTGAAAGCTCATCAGTTCCTTTGTAGGTGATGATTCTTAGAATCTCAGGGTTAGACGGGGCCTCAGAAGCCCCTAGAGTCCCCAGTGAAGACACCCCTATATGTGGCCATACAGTCTCTGTTCAAAGTCTTCATCATGTGGACTCAGTGCCCCTGGCACAGCCTATGGCACTTTGGGATAGCCCTAATTGTTGATTGATCTCTACTGCTGAATGTAAGGCATGAGTAGTCTGGAAAAAAATGCTAATCTATTTGAATCAAAAAATAAAAGAAAATAATTTACCTTTCTTTTGTTATTTGTGCTCCTTTTGAAATTTAAGAGAATTCTTGCACAGGAAAGGATAAGATTGGTTTTAGTAGGAGAGGACAGGGAACAGGGAACAGTGGATAGACATATGGACTTGGAGTTGGGAAGACCTGAATTAGAATTCTGTCTCAGATACTTACTAGCTTTGGGACCGTTGGCAAATCAATCACTTAATCTCTCTGGTCCTCAGTTTATTCATCTGTAAAATGAGAGGGTTGAATTTGAAGACCCAGATTCCTGGGTTTTTAGGTTTAGCATCAACCAACGAAGCTGGGACCTTCTGGAGCAGGAGGCTTCTCTGTGAGTCCCATTTTGACTTTTGATTTTCTCTCTCCTGAGTGGCGCAGCAGCTAGGTGGTGACATAGTGGAGAGCACTGGGCTTGGAATCAGGACTCACCTTCATGAGTTCAAATCTGGCCTCAGGCACTTACAACTCCTTAGAGGGCAGACTTCCTGCCTACAGGAAAGAGCTTCCCAATGTGACTAATGATCTCTATAGGAAACTCACAAAGATGAAACTTTGCAGCATGCATATGCGTGCTCTGCCCCATCTGACTGTTAATCACGGTAGATAATCTTTAAGGTCCTTTCATTTTAAATATTCCCTGATCTTTAGACTGCATATTTCTACTCTTATGTAAAAGTGACCTTTATTCTCCCAATTAATTCAGTCTTAACACTCTGCTCATTCTGATGTATTATTTATAGATTGGTTGAAGTCACATGTTATCATTAACTAGTTTTCTGAAAATCCAATGAACAATCCCCTTGGAAAACAGCCAGCAACTGGAGTTTAATCCTTGTTGTAATACTCACTGAAAAACATCTGGTGTATGTTAATTGCAATCTGTTTTGACTTGCTCAAGATTTATGAAGGTTAATATCTTTGGAAACACCATGCCAGGTGACTGAAGAGCCAACGTTGATCAACAATAGATGACCCAGAAGAAATTCAATGGGAATCTTAAGGAGGTATTTTCCCATATGGCAGATTTGATGTGAATCCATCCTAAGCTTCCAAATGTACAGCTCTGGTCACATCCCTCCCCTCAACACAAATTTTCAATGAATTGCTGTTACCTAATTAAAGTCTCCAAAGTCCGTTAAACAGAGCAAAAGGAATGGGCTGACTACTGAAAATAGATAACTGCTCAGTGGGTTCTGACTGTCACAGAAAGCTGGAAAGGTCCTTGAAAGCCATCAAGTCCAAAGCTATCATTTTACAGATGAGTAAACTAAGACCCAGAGAGTTCAGGTGATTTTTCCAGAATCACACTGCTGGTATGAGCGAGGATGTCATCCATGTAGGTGCCTGGTGACAAGGAGCTGAATGGTACAGCACAGAGAAAACAGCAAATGATGAACAACGATAGAGGCAGTGCAGTGCCCTGGAAAGATCCCTGGCTCTGGAGCCAGATAGCTTGGCTTCAAACCTGTATCTATCCTGACTACTTGTGTGACCCTGGGCAAGATGCTGCACTTCCCTGAGCCTCGGTTTCCTCACCTGTAATATTGTGGGGGGGCTTCCCTTTCTTGATCTATGATCCTATGACAATAACAGAATAACTCACATTTATGTATCTCTTTCCTCCCAACTCTGCTATAAGGCAGATAGTACAATTATTAATAACATTTTACAATTGGATAAACTGAGGCTCAGGGAAATGAACACATTTGCCTACATTTATATAACCATAAAATGTCAAAGGCAAGATTGACACCCAGGTCTTCTGTGTCCTAGTCCAACAGTCTGTCCACCAAACTGTCCTGCCTCTCAAGTGTCATGTAGTGCACGCATCAGGTTTACTTTTATGTCAGTATAAGGCTGGGAGCAGCCTAGACCACGACCCCACCCCACTTAATGTGAATGATGCTACAGCCTGACACTTTGATCAGGGGAGAATATGTCTCCATCCACAGGTTAATCAAACTTTAGATAGTTTGAAAATGACCTAAAATCCATTACATGAACCCAAGTGATGATGCTAAGCTGGATCTGATTGTTTGAGGGTCTTGGTCATGGTTTGGGGGGATTGGATAAAACCAGGAGATATTGAAAACCGTGGAGATTTCGAGTGAACAGTAAAGAAGATTTCAGGCAACCCCTGAGAAGGACCGAAGTCTCGTTCTCCACAGACTCTGTGTCTCTCTGGGAGAATGTTCCTGTTCCTTCATCAGAGGCACCCAGATATCCAGGACTGGGACTCAGATTTGCACACATATTTAGGACAAAGGGTTGCTCATTCAAGGGTTTTTGTGAGTGTTTTTCTGCTTTCAATGAAACTTTCTTCTCTGGTATTGTGAATGGTGTGCTCAAAAGGGAGCAGTGTCAGTATCTTGCTCTATATGAACGGCATGTGCATTTCCCAGGGTTTCCTGGGTAAGGGCTACAATATACCCAGAGAATGAGAATATCTCCTTAAGGGTTTTTGGACCCTTCAGGCCATGAGGTAGTCCCCTGGACATGGGGTTGACACAGGGCTCTGCTGAATTCTTTGCTGAAATTTGGGTTTATTCAATCTATGGCATTCTGCTGAACGACTAATCTAGTAACCTTGTCAAAAATGGAATGAGGTTGGTCTGGCAAAACCTGTTTTTGAGGAAGTCATCGATGTTGAATCTCCCCCTTTTGAAAGGCTCACTAACCCTGGCATGGTGGCATGTGCTTATAATCCCTGCTGCTTGGACAGCCTGGAGGCTCTGTCGAGCTTAGGGGTTCTGAGATGCAGTAGGCAAAAGCCCTGAGGCTGGCACCAATACAGCAAATCCCGCAGGTCAGAGATGGAAGTCAAAGCTGATCCGTGAGACCGGGCTGTGAACGGTAGCTGGGTTTCCAGCCTGGCCCCATTAGAGAGACCCAGGCTCAAGTGTGTGTGTCTATGTATGTGTGTATGCATACCTATATATGGGGGGCAGGGGTAAATAGGCAGCACCCGCTGTGGAATCAGGAGGACCTGGGTTCAAATTCCGCCTCAGACACTCACTAGCTTTGTGACCCTAGACAAGTCACTTCACCTTGTTGCCTCAGTTTCCTCATCTGTAAAATGAGCTGGAGAAGAAAATTGCAAATCCTTCCAGTATCTGTCAAGAAAACCCCAGATGGGGTCATGGAGAGCCGGAAATAAAGGAACAACAACTATATATATATATATCTATATATATCTATATATCTATATCTATATCTATATATCTATATATCTATATATTTTCCCCACACGCCCACACAATACATATATATATGCATACATTAATCATCTCTTTACCAATACATTCTAAGCGTTTTCCTAGACATCGATAACAAGCCCAACATTTTATTCTGCTTAAACGTTACCCTACGTGGATTTTATGGGAAAAAAAAACAAAACAAAACAAAATAAAACCAAACCGGCTGGTTCTGGGGGCGGGGCCAGGATCGGGGGCGGGGCTAAGGGGCAGGGCTAGGCTGGGCTGCACTAAGGCCCTCTGGTTGAGGGGAGCCGCTTTCCCCCCTCCCTGTCGTCAGATGGTTCATCCCGCCCAGCGCGCAGGCGCCGTCTCCATAGTAACCCTGGGCCGGCAGGACGCGGAGGAGGGAGGGACAGAGGCGGGAGGGAGGTAGAGCGCAGGCGCAGCATCCGTTGCTGAGCAGCTGCTGCCTCAAGGCGCCAGACTCTCCCTGTGTCTACACTGTAGTAAGCTCCAGGGTCGCCGCCCCCTCCCCTCCCACCGGCGGCCCAGCCCGGCCTGACGTTCTGCGAAGCTCTGAGCCCCTCGGGAGCGGACCCCCGGCCTCACCATGTCTAACGCGTGAGTACCTGCGGGGGAGGGCGGCTCAGCCCACGAAGACGAGCTGGGGCTCCTAGTGCACCGCAAGCTCCGCAGGCGACAGCAACGTGCAGGGACAAACCAGGGGGAGAGGGGACAGACAAGAAGGAGAGAGCGCGCTGGACTTGGCCTCAGACAGTCTTTGAAAGTACCTCGGGCCCCCCACCCCCACCCCAAGTCATTTAGCACCTGTAGCACAATAAATTAGATCTGGGAGAAATCACAGGAGCATAGGCTTAGAATTGGAAGAGACCTCACAAGCCATTTAGTTCAACCCACTCATTTTACAGATAAAGAAACTGAGGCCCAGAGATTTGGCCACGATCACACAGATAATAAAGGGGTAGTGCTGGGATTTGAACCCTGACCCTCAGACCCCCAAATCCACTGCTCTTTTCGCTGCATTATTCTTTGGGCATATTGAATTCAGAACCATATTGGGGTAGTGGATATGTAGTGGGTTTGAGTAACAAAGATCTGAGTTCAAGTTCTACGTAGCTATGAGAACCGCCCCCCCAGGATTCAGTTCACATCTGCAGGCCTCGTCTTAGCCATAAATGGGTTGTCCTGTGAGTTGGCGGAGGGAGCTTCGGCACAGTGAGTTCCCCACTGGTGAGATCTCAGCTCCCTTGGTTGCTTGAGTATTGACGACCTGGAGGCTATCCAGAGCCTCGAGGGTGGGTGGGTTCCTGTGAAGGGTCTGGAGTCCTGTGAGCCTGGAGAAGAGAGGACTCATGAGGGAGGCATTGGCTTTCTCCGGGTATCTGTGGGACTGTCACAGTGGGAGAGGGATTAACCTTGTGCCCTTTGACCCCAAAGGGCAGTTAGAACGGAGGGGGGGGTGGAAAAGAGGCCTGTTTGAGCTGACAGAAAGGAAAGCTCTTACCAGTGAGAGCTATGCCAAAGCCCGATGGGCTGCCCTGGAAAGAAGGCACGTCTCCTTAAGCAGGAGCCAGGGATGGCTTGTTGGCTGGTTTTCCAGGAGGACCCCTGGGGTCTCTGCCTATGAGGCGGCTTTGCAGTTTGGTTTCTCCCACCATCATTTAGCAAATTTATGTTAGCTTACAAATTCCTACCTACCACATGTCATAGCAGAGCCATACATACATACATACATGCCGTTCCACCTCCTAGCTCCAATTTGTGTCACAAATGTATCGATGTTACTTATTCTTCTTCAGCACTTTGGCTGGCCTTATGATCCTTAAGATTCCTTCTAGCTCCGAATGTCCGTCTCTTGTTCTCTCTGACTCTTCCCCACTCCCCTTTGGAAGTCAACCGTATACATCATTCCTGCTTAAGACTTCCCAGGAGACCTATTGTCTCTTACTTAAAGAATGTTTAAAATCAATCAAGCAAGTATGAACTATCTGTTCTTTGCCAAGCGGCCGTGCTAGGTGCTGGAGACGCCCTAAATATTGAAATAGACAGTCCCTGGCTTCAGCCTGTTTGCATTCTAGTAGAGTTTTTCCATTATTGTTGATAAACTAGAGCAGGGGTGGAGAACCTGTGGCCTTGAGTGCACACACAGCCCTCCAGGTCCTCAAGTGTGGCCCTTTGACTGAATCCAAACTTCACAAAACATATCTCCTCGATAAAAGGATTTGTTCTGTTAAACTTGAACTCAGTCAGAAGGCCGTGCCCGAGGACCTAGAGGGCCACATGTGGCCTCAAAGACTGCAGGTTCCCCACCCCTGAACTACAGCCATGAAATCACCAAGGGAGATGATATCCAGAGAAGGGAAAGGGGCCCTGGGCAGAGCTTTGGAGAATACCTGTGTTAGGTGGGAAGAAGAGAATCTGGAAGAGAACACAGAGATGGGCAGGGGAGATGAGGAGGACGACACGCGAGCCGGAAGAAGACAGCGTCCAGGAAAACGTGCTTGAAAAGAGGGACTGGCCAACAGTGTTACGCGGCAGTCGTCCGGATGAAAAGAGCTGAGGAAAGGCTACTGAATTTGGCCCTTAGAAGCTGGTTGTTGAAGCAGCTCTCTGAGGTCACCAGAATGGTGGGAACTGAAGTCAGATCACACGCAAGTCTGCGGTGAGTAGGGCGTGGAGCTCGAGAGACGGAGCAAGAAGAGGCAGTTTGTCAGCGCAAAGGAGGAGACGTCAGATGGCACAAGGGGATGGGGGGGTCAAGGGCAAGCATGAGTCTAAGAGATACTAGAGAGTGTTTATAGGCTGAGGTGAAGGGTTCATTTGAAGGCAGTTGGAAGAAACAGAAGAAATAAAGGATGGCTGATGGAGCAACGTCCAGGCAGAGCAGGATGGCACGGGAAGGAAACTCCTGCTGGAAAGCCACCTTCTTGTTTGAAGATGGAGGCAAGGAGGAGAGCTGGAGTGAGCCTGGGGAGAGACTCTAGTTATAAAGTGTGGCAGAGAGGAGCTAAGGGTTTCTATCAGGTGGCCTCTCCCTCTTTTTAAATAGAGACTAGTCGAGTCCTTAACTTTTTTTTTTCAAATAAGAAGTAGCTCTTTTAAAAAAATTAATCTGTCCTCCCTACTACCCACCCACCCCCTTCAATGAGCAAATTCAAAGAGGAAAAGCCAAAACCAACAAAGGAATCCCTCACCACCTCGATGTCTTTCAGGAGGCAGTGTGGTGCAGTGGAAAGAACCTCTGTTTCCGGAGGAAGAAGGCCTGTTTTTGAATCTTAGTTCTGCCACTTACTACATGGGTAATCTTGGGTAAATCACCTCACTCCGTTGGGCCTCGGTTTCCTCTTTTTTAAAATGATGGGATTGGGCTAGAGGAGCTCCAAGTCTCCTTTCAGCTCTGTGATGCTATGATTCTGGGATGCTAAGTCACAGCAGCTCTCTGGGACTCAGTTTCCTTATTTGTGAATTTAGGGAGTTGGGAGTTGAGACTCTAAGGTCTCTTGTAGCTCTAGCTCAAATAAAAACAATAAATAAAAATTTAAAGGACAATAATCCTTTGATCAGCAAGTTGGGAGGGGAAGCGCTCTGCTTAGAGAGAGTGTGGACATAGGATGTAAGGAACAGGGGGCCAAGAAGGACAGGAGAGGGGCTGATGAGTGAGGATGGAGAATGGGCAGAGAAGAGGAGAATAAAAGCATCGTGAAGGGACAGCAGCGAGGGCCCAGATGAGATGACATGGGAGAGTCTCTCTCTCTCTCTCTCTCTCTCTCTCTTCCCCTCCCATATTCTCTCTCTCTCTCTCTCTCTCTCTCTCTCTGTCTCTCTGTCTCTCTTTCTCTCTTTCTGTCTCTCTCTCTCTCTCTCTCTCTCTCTCTCTCTGTCTCTCTGTCTCTCTGTCTCTCTTTCTGTCTCTCTCTCTCTCTCTCTCTCTCTCTCTTCCCCTCCCATATTCTCTCTCTCTCTGTCTCTCTCTGTCTCTCTGTCTCTCTGTCTCTCTTTCTGTCTCTCTCTCTCTCTCTCTCTCTCTCTCCTCTCTCCACACAGACCACACACCTTTTGGATGACCTTCCCAACAAAGCTCAAGGAAGGGTGGCTGCGGTAGGGAGGAAGAATGAAAAAAACAGAAGAGTGAGGCAGAGAAATTAGTCCGTGGGGGTTACTCGGTCTTAAATGGTGCCAAGGCCCACATCATTGGTACAGATGACAGTGAAATGCCATCGTGGAAATGTTTGGTCACGCCATTGAAGCTGATTAGGAAAAAAATTGAAGACAGAAAATGACCGAATGACTAGGAAAATAGGGCCGTGGAACTGGGGGACTTGATGAGGGAGATGGGCAGATTCAGTAAAAGTGTGAGGAGGTAAACAGAGGAGGAGGCAGGAGACGATAATCAGATAAGGGCATTTGGGAGTGCAAGACCGTGAGGCAGGGCAGGCGAGAGTGATTGTGTTCAAGACTCCCACTTTGGTGGGCGGGTGTATGACAGAAGGCATTAGAAGGATCTGCCCCAAAAGGCCAGCTCTAATCCTCCCTTTGAGGACAAAGGGATTCTTAGAATCCCCCCCCACCCAAATTCAAACACTGTAGCATTTTGAAAAGGGTTCAATGATTCCTTCATCTTAAGTGTTTTTATTTTCAATTTCTTCCTCCTCTTATGAGAAGCAGGATTACACAGTGGCTAGAGAGCTAGTCTCAAAGCCAGGAAGCCTTAGGTGCAAGGCTGACCTCTGACCCCTACAAGTCCCTTTTCCTCTTGTTTTTCATCTCCAAGAATCCATGGTAGGACCCTGGTCAGTAGAAGAGGTTTCCTTGCCAAATCCTTTCCATAATAGTGCAATCACAAGTCTAGTCTTTATCCATCTTTTTATATGAAATTACACTTTCTCCATTTGCTTCTGTCAAGTTTCCCAGTATTTGATAAATTAATCTCACTTCATGAGCCACGACTGGAAACATATCACTTTCTTCCTCAGAAATCCTATAAATATTACTTCCATAATTCACTTTAAAAATATATTTTGAAAAAAAGTTGTAATAACCTTCAATGAAAAACAAAGAGACTCAGCAACTTGAATGGATCTGTGGTTTTATTAATTCAGGCCTGGCTTCCATTGCAATCCAGCCAACCTTTCTTCTCCTGCATGATTCTTGCCCATGGGGGCTTCTCTGGTGACTTGAAGACCTTCTTCTAGCAATTTTAAACACTTAGTGGCTATTGGAGATGCCCTCAGACTTTCCAATTCTACTTTCATTTCATAACTGGCTCACTTCCTTTTCTGATCATCCATTTCCTTAATTACGTATTTTATTTCAGTTCCTACGTGTCAGTCTTTATTGGCAACATTTCATTTATTCAAAGTGCATTAATTAAGAATCTCAAGCGTGCAGAGCACTGTGGAGGTTGCTGGAGAAGAGGTGAGGTAGGTGCTATACCATCCTGGGTCTGTCCAAAGCTGACTTAGGCCCACCGTTTGTCTGTCTTTTGGGTGGCAGCCATCGGCATTCTTTAGCTGTGGTAGTGTTCCAAGATTGTAGCCATGTTGTATCAAGGGAGCAATATCGAGGTTAAAAAGATGGATTTTATGTCAGAGAGAGTTGGA